TTGTACAACAAACTTAACGCAATTTGTCTTTTTAACAGGTTGAAGAGAACAGATGAGACACATCACCTGGAGACAGTTCTAAATGATTAGTTTATGGTTTATAAATTATAGTTCAGAAGAGGTTTTTGTGCAAACTTGCACAGGTTTTGACATTTTGTTAAAGATTTACTAAATATGAATCAATATGGTTAAGACTGAAGTCTGTATATTTCATATTAGGTTAAGTTTTAAAGATATAACAAATGTTAGAGTAATATGGTTAAAAATAACTGAAGTCTGTATTTTATGTTGAGATAAAGTTTAATATACAATGGTAGGCTGAAGTCTGTTTACTTTTGTATTTATATATTTTGAATTATTTGTCTGTGATGGACTGGAGACCTGTCCAGGTGCCTCTCACACAGTGATGGCTGATATGGGGACCAGTGATACCAGTGACTCGTAAAGGAAGAAGTGGATAAAGATGATGGATGGATGAATTATTTGTTCCTAGATTTTTATTTTGTTATTATTAATTTTTTTTTTTTTTTTAATTCAGGCAACTAAGCTAACCTAATACTGGTAATTTAAGTTACAGAATTTTATGCACTCCTATATTTTTTCCTATTTTTGGTATAAATATAAAATGAACCAAAAAGATTTGATACAGTAAAGAACCTAAAAGTATTGTTTTAAATAAATGTTCTATTTGTTTACATTGTTGTTTAATCTTTTCAGCTTGTCAGCTACATAATTGAAACAAAATTTATAACCATTTCAATCGAAAATCGTTTCTGAATTTAAAAAAAAAAAAAAAAAAAAAAAATCGGTTTGGAATCGCATCATGACACCAAAAATCAGAATCGAATCGGATTGCCAGACACTGAAAGATTCACACCCCTCCTTTAAACGCATGGAAGCTTTCTTTATACTTTAGACTTGGTTGATGTGTGATTTAAATTAATTGTGAGCAGGTGGATGAGAGTGTAGAAGAGAGATTCTGGAAACAAAATCAATTAAAAACATATAGCGTTAATTGCTAAAAGCTTGACTAAAATGAGAAAAAGACCAACAAGACAAAGGAGAACAAAATCCCACCTACTTTTTTTACAAAGCAAAAGAAAGCTTGTGAGAAACAACAAAAATCACCATTTAAGTCTCATTTCTCTGTGTAAAACTTTTAGAAATAGACACCGAAATAGTAACCACCCTTCATCATAATTAACCCATCAAGAAGTATTTACTCAGAAACTGTGGTGTAAGGGATGAGCCGTCCATTCCAGAAACATTCAAAGACGTCCCTTTTCCCTCTTGCTTGATTCAGGTTGCCAGACTCATTTTCATTATCATCATCATCAACAGGAGCTGAAAAACAGAACCACAGCCACTTTCAACTCTAAATTACAACCCAACTTTCCATAAAGTGACTGAAGTGGCAGAGCTTGTTACCATGAGCCGTGTATGGATCTTTAGGGTAAGTCTCCTTGTCATAGAGGAACGGGTGATACCGAAGGACCCCTTCCACAGTGCCGTTGTCTGAGGTAGTGGCCCTGAACTCAAAAGTGTTGACAGCAGTGTTGATGTACAAAGTCTGCATGTCGTCTTCCACTTCTCTGAGATTCATCACACGTGAAATTTTAGGAGTCTTCTCTTGTAAAGTTACCTAAAACACAATGAAAGGAACATCCAAGAGTTACCGTCTGATATAAGCAGCCTCTAATAAAATCTAATTGACTGTGATCACCACTTAATGACAAACAGTCTCACCACAATGTCGATTTTTGGAAGCTCATCTGATCTTTGAGAGCCACTACTTGAGCAATTTCCATTGACTCCATGGATGTAATAGTGATAAATGTGCCTAAAACATGAAAAGTAAAGCATTTTACCACACATTCAACATTTAAAATCTTAAGACTGTATGATGCGAGTGAGCTCACGCTAGCTCTCGGGCCCAGTCGTCAAAATGTTGTTTCAGGAAGTTGATGTGCTCAGTGCAGACTCCGGTAATAACGACGGCAGTGAAGCTTTCCTTCTCAGGTTCCTCAGCGATGACGTCATGGAGGAAGCGCTCATTATCTGTTATGTGTGAAGAGTCACCAGGCTGCAAGAGGAGTATGAGGACTTTTACTAAGATATTAATTTGAACTAGCTGAGCAATTTTGAAAAAAAAAAACAAACAAACATTACCTTCCTGTTTAAGATGGTTCCTTTGTAAACATCTTCTTTGTTCAGTTCTTTTTTCTTGAACTCCTCTTTTGAAAGAACCAGTTCATGAACATCTGGGAAGCCTGTTGGTTTGCTGATCATCTGGTAATTACAGATTTTATGAACATGATTTTATAGGTTCAAACTGACAATTCCTCTTTGTAATACAAAACAAGATAATTCTTGTAGTAATAATACAATTAATGTATAGGCACCTTTCAAAACTCTCAATGTCACCTTACAGAAAGCAATAAAATCTGATAATAAAATGTCTGATAGGGAGCCAATGAAGCTGCTGTAGGACTGGTGTTATAAGGTTGATGGAAGGGGTTCTGGTGATAAATTAGGTGGTAGCGTTTTGAACTACTTGAATTCTACGGAGAAGATTGTCAAGTACATCAAAAAGAATTTTGTACCTACACCTAATGCACATATGCACTGGCACTTGAAAACTGTGTAAAGAAAGTACCGGTAAATATTTATTTGGAGAGTAGAAAGCAGAGGAAAAAGCTTTGTGTGGACTGTTGATGAAGTCAGTCTATTGCTTAATGTAACACAGAAAGCTGTATGTTATCCACCTTATTCCTGGGGGCTCTACTGTATAAATGACTATGGGTACAACTTCCTGTCAGACACTGGAAGTAGCAGCAAGCAATGGTTAACATTGGTAGCGGAGCATGGACCACTGTTTATTTTAAAGTAGTTTGAATTTAGTTTAGCAAATAAAACAATGTTTTTTGTTTTGTTTTCATTTATTTAACAAACGTAAAGTTTACTAAAATGGCCTTGTGGAGTTCAGGTACCTGCTAAGTTGTTCACAGCTGCACAAAACACCAGACAAAACTAAATCAGTGGCTACAACAGTGTTTTGAACACGGAACCACAACAAAAAGTGTTTCTGTGAAAAGTGGTATACAGTAGTCCCTCGTTTATTGCGGGGGATCCGTACTCTGAAGCACCGCGATAAGTGAAAAACCGCCAAGTAGGAATAGTAGTACAAGTAGTCAGTAGCAGTTTATTTTCATATATATATATATATATATATATATATATATATATATATATACCATACCATACCAATTTATTTATATAGCACTTAAAACAGCAACAAGGCCAACCAAAGTGCTGTACAAAAGAACACAAACATGCACAGCAGACAGGAAAACATAAAAT